GGTCTTGTGTGAGGCGGGTAGGAAAGGACTTTTCAAATTTTGGGGAATGAGAGCCTTCTAGTGGTAGAGCAGTCCGCAGGGGTGGAGTGAAATTTTTCCCGGCCCCTTCCACCCCTCCGTGTTTGGACTTTGGGTGAGGGGGGTATGGGACTTGGTGGCGGGGCAGGGCAGTTACAGAGAGACTGCAGCGGGGCTCTCTCCTCCTGCCTCCGGTCCTGCAGAACATCCACAAGGCGGCGGAGCGTGTCCGTTTGCTCCCTCATTAGTCCAAGCAGCGTTTGAGTAGCCTGCCTGTCCTCCTGTCGCCACCTCTCCTCCCGTTCAATGTTTGCCCGGTGCATTTGGGACAAGTTCTCCCTCCACTGTGTCTGCTGGGCTGCCTGTGCTCGGGAGCATTCCATTAGTTCAGCAAACATGTCTTCCCGTGTCCTCTTCTTCCTCCTCCTAATGTGCGCTAGCCTCTGGGCAGATGTGGCTGTGGGAATTGGAAAAAGGGAGTGAATTCCTGAGACAGAGCAATGTATCTGTGAACAGAGAACATAGTCTTTCTCTGTGAACAAGACCATGCAGAGCACCTATCACACGCGCACTGAGGACAAGGTCGAATTTTCGGCCCTCGCCTACAGTGCCTGCGGTCTTGCTGTGGCGAGCTGAGGAGCAGGGCAGGACACCGGACTTTGTCTAGATGGCAAACATGGTAAGCCGTAGACTTGTGGCCGCTTAAAACTTTAAGAGTGGCACTGGCCTCCTTTCACATAGAAAGCAATGCGAGTCTCTGCTGGCAGCAATCCTGCAAGCATGAACTCTGGCCCTGTCCCAGCCCCTCGCGGCTGTAAACCGCGTGGCTGTAAACCGGCGGTTGCAGTTCTGTAAAGGGACGGGCAAGCAGTCCCAATACTAACTTTCCCCTACCTAATTCACAGCAGGGAGTCATGCCTGACATCACCCTCCTGAAGGTCTCCGAGAGCCAGAAGGAGAAGATGCTCCGGGACAGCCTGCAGAAACCGGGGCCATTTGCTGCACTGCTGTGCAAGGCCATGATCCCGGAGTACCTGCTGGCGTTGTGGCAGGGAAACGTGTCCTACCACGGGGGGCCTAATAAGCTGTCCCTGCCCAGGAACCTGCTGATGAGGCTTGAAAAACACCTGCAGGAGGTGTATGAGGAGTTCTCCCCGGAGGATGTCGCCTCGATCCCCGGTTACATTGACCAGTTCTTGGCTTAGGTGCCCTTGGAGGGACAAATGACTGCAGGGTTTTGGGCACTATAATCATGAAGCGGACATTGTGAGATTTTTTTAAAATGGTTCGGACTATATATTGAGGCGCCCAAAGACGGAGTAATCATGATACACTTTGCACTGATTCCCCTTTTGTTTGACTTTCCTGTTTACATGTTTTTAAGCACTTTACCCACTGTTAATATTTTCAATCTTCCTGTTTTGTTGCAAATAAATGTTTACATGTTTTAAAGCACTTTAGCTACTGTTAATATTTTAAATATGCCAGTTATGTTGTAAATAAATGTTTGGATATTTAAAACACTTACTGCTTGATCCTTCCCCTGAATCTGTGTCTGGGGTAACGGCTGGGGAGGGTTGGTAGGGGATCTCTGTCAGGGTGATGAAGAGCTCCTGGCTGTCGGGCAAATCAGCGTTGTAAGCGCTGTCTACTGCCTCGTCCTCCTCATCTCCTTCCTCCTCTTCCCCGTCCGCTGAGGAACCGGCCGCGGACAATATCCCATCCTCAGAGTCCACGGTCAGGGGTGGGGTAGTGGTGGCGGCCGCACCTAGGATGGAATGCAGTGCCTCGTAGAAACGGGATGTGTGAGGCTGGGATCCGGAGCGTCCGTTTGCCTCTTTGGTCTTCTGGTAGCCTTGTCTCAGCTCCTTGATTTTCACGCGGCACTGCGTTGCATCCCGGCTGTAGCCTCTCTCTGCCATGGCTTTAGAGATCTTCTCATAGATCTTTGCATTCCGTCTTTTGGAGCGCAGCTCGGAAAGCACGGACTCATCTCCCCACACAGCGATGAGATCCAAGACTTCCCGATCCGTCCATGCTGGGGCCCTCTTTCTATTGGATTGCACGGCCATCTCTGCTGGAGAGCTCTGCATCGTTGCCACTGCTGCCACTGCTGCTGAGCTCGCCACGGTGTCCAAACAGAAACTGCGCTTCAAACTGCCCAGACAGGAAAAGGAATTCAAATTTTCCCGGGGTGTGGCTGGTCAGAGCATCCGAGCTCGGACTGCTGTCCAGAGCGTCAACAGAGTGGTGCACTGTGGGATAGCTCCCGGAGCTATTACCGTCGATTTCCATCCACACCTAGCCTAATTCGATATGGCCATTTCGAATTTAGCGCTACTCCTCTCGTTGTGGAGGATTACAGAAATCGATTTAAGGAGGGCTCTATGTCGAACTAAATGGCTTCGTGGTGTGGACGGGTGCAGGGTTAATTCGATATAACGGCGCTAAATTCGACATAAAAGCCTAGTGTAGACCAGGCCTTTGCTGTATTTTAATACCACAAGGATGTTGTTAATAAAACCCCAAAAGATGCCCTTACATTTTAATTTGACTATTTTTGTAAATAGTTTTCATTGTATAAATGTAACAAGACACTCCAGCGGTTAGTTTAGAATGTTTTCTCTCTAGTTTTCAGATCTCTGAATTGACAGCTGCACACAATGCACTTGTGATTATAACTCTGCTCTGCTTTGTGAAAATCAAGTTCAAGGCATCGAGTATTCCGAATGTGGCCTCTCTAATATTTTAAATACAGAGGTGGAATGATTTAGTCCATCTTTATTGCTGCGATTTATACATTGTAAAATTGCTTTCTTTTTCTCTGGCTCTTTCTGAGCAGTGCTTAGAGAGGCTTTCATTGTTTGTTCTGCAGAAAATGCTTCTGTACATTTATTTTATTAGAGAATAGATTACACAGGACTTTTGTACACAATTTACAGCTAGCCTTTCAAAAGGTATAATTGAAGGATTTAGGCTCATCTGCATTTACAGTGATGATGACCATCAGTGACTGGTTACTGGTCTGATCACATGTGGAAATCCCTATGTTCCTAAGCATGAATTGGATTTTGTGGCATATTTGTGAAGCTCTTCCAGCTTGTCAGTTAAAATTTTTCATTTGAGTTTCTCTCAGTGGTAGATTTCATGCTTTAGGCTTGCTGCGCCAGTACCAGTAAACCTCTGTTTGTTTTCTATTTGCTTCCAGTATCATGAAGGGCAGCTCTCATTGCAAAATGCCATGCAAGGATTCCTGTGTGTTAACAAGATACTCAGGAATCTGGCTCCACTGAGCTTTAACTGCCGTCTGGTTATGAACTTACCAACCAGCAGAATCTTCTGAAAGAAGTCATGCCAGTTTTTAATAATGAAACTGGAATACAAGTCAAGGACAGTAACATAGCCTGAGGCAGGAAACACACTAAGGTAGCATTCCCCCTAAAGAACAGAATAAACAGATCATAGAATCATAGAATATCAGAGTTGGAAGGGACCTCAGGAGGTCATCTAGTCCCACCTCCTGCTCAAAGCAGGACCAACCCCAACTAAGTCATCCCAGCCAGGGCTTTGTCAAGCCAGGCCTTAAAAACCTCTAAGGAAGGAGATTCCACCACCTCCTAGTGAAAAAGTTTTCCCTAATATCCAACCTAAACCTCCCCCACTGCAACTTGAGATCGTTACTCCTTGTTCTGTCATCTGGTACCACTGAGAACAGTCTAAATACATCCTCTTTGGAACCCCCTTTCAGGTAGTTGAAAGCAGCTATCAAATCCCCCCCCATTCTTCTCTTCTGCAGACTAAACAATCCCAATTCCCTCAGCCTCTCCTCATAAATCATGTGCTCCAGCCCCCTAATCATTTTTATTGCCCTCCGCTGGACTCTTCCCAATTTTTCCACATCCTTCTTGTAGTGGGGGGCCCAAAACTGGACAGAGTACTCCAGATGAGGCCGCACCAATGCCGAATAGAGGGGAATGATCACGTCCCTCGATCTGCTGGCAATGTCCCTACTTATACAGCCCAAAATGCCGTTAGCCTTCTTGGCATGCCCAAGGGGAAACCAAGTAACCACAATTTTCTTTGGACAGTCAGTAACTCTCTGCTTCTGGCTTCCCACTCTTTGGGCTTTTGTGACTCTTCTCCTCTCATTCTCTTCAGCTGTTCCTTTGTCAACTCTTGGGTGGTTCTTCCTCCGTCTCTTCTGATGTCAGTCAGTGCCTTCCCAAGGCTGTCTTGCTCCCTTCCTTCTCCCTCTGCTCCTCATCCCTAGATGAACTCCTTTGTTCTCACAGCTCCAGTTACTTATATGTATGCTGAGGATTCCTTGATTGTCTACTTCCTTTTGCTTGCCCAGTTGACTATGTGGCAACTTTCTTTGGAACAGAAAACCCCTACCAAAGTGAAAGACTCCACTGCACACACTCCCCCCCTCGGGGAGAGGATGAGAGAACAAACAACATGTGACAATGTTAATCATGTTGCTTAATGCACTACTGGAAGGTGTCCCCCTCTGGCTCCCTGCTTTTGACCCTGTGACCCTCACTCTCATCCCTGTCTTATCATTTGTTGCCCCCCCCCGGGAATTGTTTGAGATCTAGGTCTGGTAGCGCCTCTCCTTAGGTTGGGGGAGGGGCCTTTAGATGTGGGCAGGTTCACGCACACCTATCCCCAGATGCTCAATAGGTACTGGAAGGTGCTTAGGTACTATGCTGATGAGCGCAGTGCAAGAGCCAACATTGAATAGAATAAATGGCCCACTGCCAACTCAAACTCAACACATCAAAAAGTTTAATGTCTCTCCATTTCTCCTATAATTAACTAATTGCACTTAACCTTTAGGGAGCACTTTCCATCTTTAGATCACAAAGTGCTTTACAAAGGTGGCTAAGGATCAATATCCCCATTTGATGACTAGGATGATTTCTTTCTCTTTGCCCTTCCATGTGGATTGCATAATCTTATATTTTACATGTCTCCTACAGATTCCCCGGTTGGTGAAAGTCATCCTGGAGAGTTCTCCTTACTTCAGAGTTATCAGTCCCAATGATGTGGGTCACAAAGTAGCACCGGGCATGGCGTCTACCTTCCGCATCCTCTTCACTCCTGAGGAGAACAAGGTACCATCGCCACCCTTAAAGGGATCAGTGCCTTTTAAATATAGAATATGCACACAAGGGGCTAGATTTTGGCCAGTAAAACAGGTGTCAATCCAGAGTAACCTTTCTGATTTCAGTGGAGTTACTCTGGACCCAGCCTACTGTGATAACAGTAGAGCACCCACTACTCCTTGGTGAAGGGATCCTTTAACAGACTGGACATTCCTTTTGCCTGTTGTTCTGTAATCTGCCAACCTATTTTCGGGGCTCTTTTCATCCTTCAACACCTAAGGGATTTAAGGTGTAACTTAGGGGTTCTCAAACTGGGGGCCGTGACCCCTCAGGGGGCACGAGGTTATTACATGGGGGGTCGTGAGCTATCAGCCTCCCCCCCCAACCCCGCTTCACCTCCAGCATTTATAATGGTGTTAAATATTTTAAATTTGGTTAAGTTTTTAATTTATAAGGGGGGGTCACACTCAGCGGCTTGTTGCGTGAAAGGGGTCACCAATACAAAAGTTTGAGAACCGCTGGACTGTAACTCCTATCAGAGAACCCCTTAAGCACCTGTGGGCTGATAGATTATGCACCATACAATCAAACATAGGGCTTTCTGCATGACTGTACATATTCTGACTTACTGAGCCAATTATAAAGACCAACGCCTAAACTTTCAAAAGCAATCAGTGATTTTGGGGGCCCAACATGGGACCCTGGAAAGAGGCCTGATTTCCAGTGGAGGGATGCTCAGCACTTTCTGAAAATCTGGCAACTTTAAGGTATCTCAGGTTGGACACCGAAAAATGGAGACACTCAAGTTCGATAATTCTTTAGGCCTGAGGTTTTTTTTAACCAACCTGTGTATGTCTTGATTGTAGTCCATGTGCCACAGTTTGAGAACCACTGTTTTAGACTAACTGGCTAGGGACAGCGTGGAATTCTGGTATTTGATAGGCCACAGTTGGGATTACATTGCTGCTGTTTATTTCTCCTTTTTTATACGGGATCTGTATGTATGAGTGGGAAGACACATACACAGATGTTCAGTTATACCTGTAGGAATGCAATAGATTAGGGAAACCTATTCTTCATCTCTCCCTCTCCTCATTTTGGCCTGGGGAAAAGGAGATGATTTTTAAAAACTCTGTCTTTAGGCCTTACAGCTATGCTGCCCCTGCAGACATTTGCCTGCTTACATTCCAGTTGTCAATCAGGGAGAGGAAGTGCTGCGTGTGTGGCAGAGAGCCGGCTTGGCACAGACAAACTGAGCTCTAGATTTTCTTCATTAAGAAGGCGCTCAGTGTGCTGCAAAGGGCTTAATGGTATTTCCTATCTGAAAGATTCTGTGCAGAACTAAATGGGCATATACATTCTCCCACTGTCATGTTATCTCTCTCATACACATGTTGTCCCAAACCCAGTGTTTCTCGCATCCTAGGATGGTATAGTGCCAACTGTAAAGAAGCGTCTTTTAATATTGGTTTGGCTGCCTCCTTTAGCCCTGTACCATAATGATACCTAACAGCATCTGTGTCTACCTACTGGCATCTCACCATAGTATCTAGGCTCCTATACCATTCCTTTGCTGAGAGTGTACAAATAACATTGCTGTGCTAGTAGGGAGTGCTGTGATGCCAACGTTCGCTACTGTGATCTTGAGGCTTGTTGGGGCAGAAGAAGATGTTGCAGCTGGGAAGGGTCAGATGTGTGGCAGGTTGATTCTTAAAGAAATGCAGAGCACATTTTTTACAGCATCCTAGTGCTAGTGCGGTCCTTCATTTAACCTGTCTTGAGATGGCAAGGTTAGGAATAGCTTTGTACTAGCCAGTGTTGGTGCACTAAGAGAGCTGAGGAGTTTGGTCCTCTCTTTGGACACAATTGATCTCTTTTCTTGCGTTTGTTGGTAGGTTTTGGTTTCATTGTATTCCTTTTTTGTAATGTTTGGAAATGGAATGGTGTAATAAATGAAAATCCCCATGATCTGTATCCTGTTCCCCAGCAACATGGGCCTGTGAAATAATCAATTTTCCTCTGACAGGACTTAGAAGTTATTGAAAGTCATTAATGTTTGCAATAAAACTATGTTGGTATGGGGGGAAATTTTCAAGCGTGCCCAAGTGACTTAGGCTCCCAAGGCGGTCTCTCAAGTAGAAAGGGCCCATGTTATGTAGGGCTTTATAAATCAAACCCAGAACTTTAAATCCCTACATGGTTCAGCCCGATTCACCAGGTCCTAATGTTACGAATATGAAAAATGGTTCCTTAGAGTGATATTTTGAAAGCCATCTGCATGGTGCTTGCAGTTGTGTGCTTGCAAAGTAACACTGATGCACGCACCTTAGGCTTTGTACTTCGTACGTGCTAATGTATGGCCCACTTGTGCTCCCATGGTTGATCTTATGGGAGCAGGATCATGCCACTAGAATCCTTTTTTAAATAGGGGAAACTTCTTGATGCTGAAATACTCCAGTAAATTAAATTATGCCACTAGGACAAAATGTAGGTACCTGTTCGTTTGTGTGTGTGTGTGTGTGTGTGTGTGTGTATATATATATATACACACACAGTATATATTCCGTGCTTGTCCCTGTAATCCCTCTTCAGGCATATCACTTGTTTCAGCACACACACACACACACACACATACATATGATATGATATGATATATGATATGATATGCCTGAAGAGGGATTACAGGGACAAGCACTGAATTATCCCACTTTACGCTAATAAAAGTTCAGTTTCCATAAATTGGACATATGCATCTGTGACTCTCTTGGTTAAGTGTGGTACTTTAAAAAGCACTAGCCTTTCTCTATTTGAGATCTTTCCTGTTATTATTGGTTACCCGTAATTCTCTTGGCCTGAGTGTGATCTTACATACACTGGTTAACTCTGACTTCAGATGAGTCACTCCTGATTTACAGAGGTATAGCACAGAGCAGGATCAGGGCCTGTGTATTCTAAAGAAAAGGAATTTGGGCGCGGTCAGTGGCTGGAATGCCATGTGCCATGCGGCTTCTTCCTGAGAAATGAGCATTTCCATATTATCTCTTAGCCCTCTGGTCTGCCACACAACTGGGCAGTCAGTAAATAAATAAATAGCTGATATGTATCTTTGTTTATTGGTATTTGCTTTATAAATATGAAATGCAAATCTTTCCACTTGGCAACAATTCCAATCCGTTCCTCTAATTGCTTCTAATTTACACTGTTGTGTTTTATGGCTCTGTTTGTTTAATGTGGATGTTCTCGTTCTGTAATGTGTTCCAGGGTCCGCTTGTATTTCTGTCTGACAGGATCTGTCTAATTGGAAACCTTTGCCGAGCTGATGGGCAAATAAACGACGGACAGGAATCTTCACGTTTTACGTGTGTCCTTCCGGATTATTAATAGATTATGATAAAGGAAAATGAAAGGGAAAGCAAGAGGCATATAAAACCATTTTACAGCACAGTTTATTCAATCGTCCACTCCTACTCTTTGCACCATAACAATGCCACATTTTTCAGGCAATACCAGCTTAGACGGGAGAGTTTGCAAAATTCATTACTGCCGCCAGTGATGACTGAAGTAATGCTTGTTGATCAATATGAACTATGACAGGACAATGAGTTACTGAATTAGCAGAATTAATTCCTTTTAAAATTCAGTCCAGCCTGTTAGAGATGTTTTGTAGCATATTGAAGGCATTCCTAGTATATCTTCAGGGGCAGGGTTCCTGAAGGAAGCACTTAGGTTCACTTCGAGGAATGTCTTTCTGTAAAATTGAGTTGGGACCAAATTATCCCCTTATCAAGGACAAGGAAAACATAGTCCCTAATTGCAGAGTTAGTTCATTTGTGGGAGGGGGATGTCCCCCACACAGCAGAACTGTCATGGGGTATTTATGAGATCTCCAAAGTCTCTGCACTATTTTCCAGTACCCCACAGTCCTGCCTCCATGGAGCTGTGCTCCTCTACATTCTTGCCTGACTTTTAATTACATTGAAGTGGACCTGGTGATGTTCTTTGCAGCTGTCAAGGCTGATTCCCCACTCTGGCACTTCGAGTGCAGAAGGTGGGGGCCCGCAAAGATTTTAAAAATTAATACTGGCCACTCCAGGCTTGTATTAAACTCCCAAGGTTACAGCTTCTCTGACCTTGGATGGATAGATGCTGCCACCATCCAAGTGCAAAAAACACCTTTGAAACCAGGAAGGAGCACTTGGGAACTCCTTCCTGTGGGGTACCCTCAAGCCCTTTCACCCCCCCTCTGGGGAAGAGCTGAGAAAGAAAACAAAGGAAATCAGCTGTTGCCCCCAGCTAATTAAACAACCTGTGCACAAACCTCTTAGGACACAAAAATCCAGTCCTGTTCTTAAAAAAGGTAAATTTTATTAAAAACAAAAAGAAAGAAAATACATCTGGAACTTCGGCTTTTGCTAGATTTAAAAAACCCACTAACAAAAATTAAATATCAGGAATAACCTTCTTGAGGTCCAGCTTAAAGGTTACAGGCAAAACAGAAGCATTTGGGGTTAGCACAGAGGAGTCCGCAAGCCAATAAGAAATAAACAGAAATAAACCTAATCACGTCTTTCTAGACATCCCCTAATTTACTGACGTATCTGGGGTTTCAGATAAGCAATCTCTAGGTATGATCTGATGGTTTTTCATACCTGGCTTTCAGCTTCTTACAGCATAACTGCTCCCTGTTCCCCTCTTTCCCAGAGAACCACAACACACAGACAAAGGGAAGTTTTTTCCCAATTTTAAAAAGTTCTTGCCTTCCCATTGGCTCTTTTGGTTAGGTGCCCACTCCTTTCATTTTACCTGTGGGCTTGTTAACCCTTTACAGGTAAAGCAAGTAGAGAACAACCACCAAGAGGGATTCCACAGCCAACTGGCTGGCTGGGTGTCCACAAAAGGGAGCTACCCCTCCCCCCCTCATTTATCACAGCAGCTATAATCAGGAAATAATTCATGCAGTATTTGTTCTCAATTATATAGTTAAACTGACAGATGAGAGCCACCTGGCCCATTGGGTAGTGATTGGACATGCCATTATGAAATGAAAACATGCAAATCATCAAACTGGTACAGAAATGAAGCCTCAGATTGTAGAGATCCTGAAACAATAGTTCTTCGAGTCACGGTCCCTATGTGGATTCCAAACGCAGGTGCTCATGCGTGCCATGCACCGGAGCTGGAACTGTTCATAGCAGTGTCCGTTGACCTGCACGTGTGTTGTGCATCCACCATGTGACATGTCCAAGGCTTTAAGAGGCTGTGCGGGTTGATGCCACTCCAGTTCCCTCTTACTGCTGCCTGGCCAGAGTCGGAACCCCTGTTCCTCGCTGCTCTTAGCTCGCTAAGAGAACTGCTCTTCGTTTTTGCTGTATATTGTTTCTAGCGAGATAGTTGTCTGTTACTTTTTAGTAGTTAGTTTGTTTTCCTTGGGTTTCTCCCCTTCAGGGTTTTTTTTTCTCCCCAACCCGGGACTCTGCCAGCTTCAAGAACTGTGCCTTGTGCCCTCACTCCTTTTCAGTGAGCAACGAGCACACTCGTTGCCTTTACTCTCTTGGTGAAGCCCACGTTTTCTCTTGCTGCGCCATCTGCCGCTTGTTTCCATCCCAGACTCGAGTAGCTCGTGAACTTTGCCTTCGCAAATGTCTAATGGAGGAGGTGATGCGCCCACATGTGCACAGAGGTGAGCACTTCACTGGGCCCCTCCCGTGTGGCACTGGCAGCACTGCCACACCCATCGAAGCCCCACTTCGTGCACAAAAAGCACGGGCATAAGGGCAGCTCCCCAACGGGGACCATCTCTAAATGCAGCGTTACCTCCCCAAGCTGTGTTAGGTCGGGTGAGAAGTTGTGCGCAACTGTGGATGCTCCTGCTCCTAAGAAGGCTCGTACAGAGCACCACTCCAAATACCATTGTACACCACCTGCCCCATCTTCTGCTCCAGCACCTGGGCCTCCTCCTTTGGCCTTGGCACCATCGATACTGCCAGCACCTTCCAGCCAGTCACACCCAGTCCCGCATATTCCGGGGCAATTATCACCCCTGACGCCATTGGCTGAGCTCTTGCTGCCTTTTGCTGGCTCTCCCCCGCACTCTGGACCTCTGCCTGTTCCAAGACTACACTCTCCAGTGGACGAGTCCCTCATGCTCCATCCTTCTGCTTGTTGACCACCCTCTTGGACCTCAGCTTGCACCGATGGTCTAGCAAGGCAAGGGCCATTCTTCTGAATCTGAGTGGCCTCCGACCTGGACACAGCCTTCTCTCCTGCCTGGTCCTACATCCCAGACTCTCTGCACCTGTCCTACCCACCGACATACAGTCCCTCTGCTGACCCGTGGTTCTGCTCCAAAAGGGCATCATAGAATCCGTGCCGTAGCACTACCATGGCTGTAGTTTTTATTCCCCCTGTTTCCTCGTCCCGAAAACAGGGTATGGTCTTTGTCCCATTCTGGATCTCTGCTCTGTGAACAAGTTTATTCGCAAGTTTTGCTTCAGAATGGTCACCCTCCCCCTGATTATCCCTTCCCTCTTCTGTGGAGCTTGGTTTGCGGCTCTCGATATGAAAGATGCATACTTCCGCATAGACATCCACCCTGCTCATCGCAAATTCCTTCCCTTCCAGGTGGGGAGTTCCCATTACCAATTCCCCGTTCTCCCCTTTGGAATTGCAACTGCCCCCCGCATCTTCACTAAGGTCTTCACGGCGGTGGCGGCCTATATGTGCCACCTCTGCCATTCCCTCTTCCTCTACCTGGACAACTGGCTCCGTGTGGCACCATCTTTCCCCCTTCTCCTTGCTACTATCCGGACTCTCAGAGCCCTCCTCGGCAGCTTGGGCATCTGCATCAATGAGGAAAAGTCGATCCTTGCCCCTACCCACACGCTCACCTTCATAGGGGCACACCTGGACTCTGTCACAGCCTTTCTTCTCACAGACTGTTTCGTGCTCTTATCGTGATGCTCCGCTGCCGTCCATCAGTGCCTCTCCCTTATGGGCCATATGGTGGCCTGTACCGTGGTCATGCCATCTGCCTGTCTCCATATGTGTTGTCTTCAGCTCTGGCTCCCTTATGTCTACGACCCACAGTCGGACCCCCTGAACCACCCGGTTGTCATCCCTCCCACTGTTTTGGCTTCCCTCGCCTGGTGGTGCAACCCATCTGTGGTTCTAGCAGGCATTACGTTCATGTCCCCCATGCTCAGCACCACTTTCACCACAGATGCCTCACTCATGGGCTGGGGCGCCCACCTCAACAGCCACCGGGCCCAAGGACTTTGTTCAGCAAAGAGTCGTGCAAATGCACATCAACATTCTGGAACTATGGACGGTCTGCCTGGCCTGTCAGGCCTTCCTGCCCTTCTGTTTCCGCCATATTCAACTGCTGTCCGACAACATGACGGTGGTTGTATATATCAACAAACAGGGCGGAGTCAGGTCTCCTTCCCTCTGTGCGGAGGCCATCCTTCTTTGGAATTGGTGCCTCCGGCACAGAGTCACCCTTCACGCTGTGCACCTCCTGGGCACCAGCAACTTATTGGCAGACAGGATCAGCTAGTCCTTCCACGCCAACCACGAGTGGGAACTCCACGACCCCATTTTCCGGTCCATCTTTCATCGGCGGGGCACACCGTGCTGGGACCTCTTCACAACTTCGGAGAACCACAAGCTTTCCCCTCTTCTGCTCTGGGGAGCTCTGGGCCCAGGCTCTCAGACACAGGGCAGCATGGCCTAATGGCCAGAGTGAATATGGCAGACCTTGGACACAGGGCAGTGCAGCCTAATGGCCAGAGTCAATATGGTGGCCCTAGGACACAGGGCAGAGTCAATATGGTGGGGAAAGGTGGGGGCCACTCCCAGGGGGGTGACGGCCTGGGTAGGGGGGCCTAGGCCTACCGGACTCCACCAGGCCCTGACCCAGGGCCCTAACAGTGATGGTGCGGTCCATCACTGGGTCAGCGGGGAATCCCACCGAAACACGCTGACCTCATTCGGCTGGGAGATACCACTTGCTCACCCTCTCTGGGTCTCTTCCTATCGTAGTTCCAGAGCTCCTCAGCGTGGATGGTCTTCCGGGGCTCCTTGGGCTCCAGGCCTCCAATCTGGCTCTCCGGGTCTCTGGCTCTTGCAGGCAAGGGCTGTGGCAGCTCTTCAGCTGGAGCTTTGGCCGAAGGGCCTTCTCCTCCAGCAGTCAGCCCAGAATGAGCTGGGCTGCTCCCTTTTATACTGAGGCAGCAGTTGGAGCATGCCCAGCACAGGACTTCCGCCACCCATAGTGTGGGGTTAATCCTTCCCGCTCCAGTGCAGGGTATGCACGCCCCATCACAAGACCCATCTGTCAGGTCTAGGATCTCAGATACACAGTGTATCCTGGGAGCGCCTCTGACCTAGGGAAGCCCCAAAACACATGAGGTTACAGCAGCCACTCAGTCTCGGCACAGACTGCCAGCTCTGATGAAAGATACCCTACAGTGGAACTGTTAGCAAAGGAAGGGAGGGCCCCGATGGAGCTGGGGAAGGTTAAAGAAACACAGGATGTTGGGAAGAACAAGAGTTATCATGTCCAGTTTGGGGGAATCAGAGTGGGAGATCCCAGCTGAGGCAGGGGACAGGGAAGAAAAGGGATTGGATGGTTAGGGGTTTTTTGTCAAGGAGAAGGATGGGAGTGAAATTAACTTGTCTCACCATATTAACTGTATCAAAAAGGCAATTAGGATTAGGTGAAGAACATGCTTGCAGTTGCTTGCTTTCAATATATGTACTTTCACTGCGTTACCATTGCAGAAAAATTTGTACCGTTTTTGAACGTGTCTCTATAAAGGCGATTGATAATAAATCATAGTAGTAGGGAATAGTGCTATTTTGCTAACACCTGAAATACTGGGAGCAATTCTTGTCTCCAGTTTGGGAAGAATACACTGTAGAAAAATTGTTAAACCATGATACAAAGAGTGAAGGCCACGGCACCCGAAATGCCTTAATGTTCCCTTCTTGTAACTGTGGATTCTGTTGTCCATGAAGCCAGTTGGATTCCTTCTGTTGCTCGCTCTCTTGTGGGAATGATGCCTGAGTTTACCAGACTGATGTGTGTGTTATTTCCCTGTAGGATTACATCCACCAGGTAACCTGCATCACGGAAAGAGAAAAGTTTATTGTGCCTATCCGAGCTATAGGGGCTCGGGCAATACTGGACTTCCCTGACCAACTGAACTTCTCCACCTGCCCCGTCAAGTACAGCACTCAGAAAACTCTGCTGGTTCGCAACATTGGCAATAGAGAGGCCCACTACAGAACCAGCCTTCAGAGGTAAAGGGGGCTTTGGTTGGTCTTCATGTGCTTCACCTTACTTGCCGAAGGGTGTGTTAATGTAGCATAGCAAAGAGGAACAGAACAATCAGATAACTTGCACATTGCAGCATGTCCTGCAGACTGGGGGGATGTTTAGAGCACACCAGCTTTTTACTGTTACTTGCTGTGTGATGGAAAAAGTGTCTGTCTGAGCCTCCAACCCTTGTCCATGGTAGGTTGCAGAGTTTTAGGGCATGCTGTTGTGTGTGCTCCATGGAAATACCATGCACAAAGCCTGTCAGATTTAAAGGAAAAAATCTTGTTGCAGCCCTGTAGTTAAAGATACAGGTAGGAGCATGGTAGCTAAGTCCTTCTCCCACTATGGAAGGTATGGGTAGGAGCTGTTGTCAGTTGTTGGCTGTGTGTGTGTTCTCTCTGTGTGCTGCACCGGCTCTGGCCTGGTAGCCAGTACAGCAGACTCCAGTCGAACTGCCCATGAAGACCACAGACTCGGTTCAGTAGCAAAGGCACTTGGCCAGGTTGATTGTCAACGAAGCACAGTCCTAGTGCCCTGGCTCAATGGTTCTAGGTACACTAACACGTGTATGCTCATTACAATGGACCCCGGCGGCAGCCAACCCCTGGCCATGCGCTCCAGCCCCCAGCCCTGGCTGCTGACGCTGGGCACTGCTCCTGGATGTGGACCCTGGGTTCTGGTGGGTGCTGGCCAGAGGCACCGATCCCCAGCCCCAGGCACCAGCCCCAGTGCAGATGCCCAGCTCTGGGCATGCAGCAGCAGACACCAACCCCAGGCTCTGGCAGGTGCTGGCCCTGGACGCCGACCTCCAGTCCCGGTTGCGCAGCAGCAGGCTTCGGCGGGTGCTGGCCCAGGACACTTACTCCTAACCCCTGCTGTGCAGCAGCGAGCATGGACCCCAAGTGCCGACCCTGGGTGCCAACCCCTGGCCCTGGTCACACAGCAGCTGCGCGGACACCCAGCAGTCGATCAAGTGCCGTGCACTTTAGGTGCCCCTCCCCCCACTGCCGCGCTGCTCCTGCCCTCTGCCTTGGAGCCCCTGGCCAGCGGCTCCCGGGAGCCTCCTGCTTGCTGTGCAGAGTCGGGGGGAGGGGAGACGCTGATGTCAGGGAGTCCCCCTCCCCCTACCCATGTACCCCATCTCTGCAGAGCGGGGCGGGGAACACGACAGGGCTCAGGAGTGGGACATGGGACAGAGTTTGCTGACGGCTGCTGCTGTGTCTCAGGCCTCAGACTGGTGAATGCCGATCTACCTAAAGGGGCAGCGTGTGTGTCTCTCCCTCACACACACACGGTATCACTCTCTCTCTCTCTCTTACACACACACACACACACACACACTGTGTGTCTCAGTCTCACAAACACACACTCTGTCTTTCACACTCGCCTCCCAACACATACTTGTTTTATTGTTGGTTGTTGTTACTTCTTGATACTTCCTGCAATGCACATATATTCCCTGTAATCTTATTCTTTCAAAGTGTGTTATTTTAGTTTTTTGACTGGGCTATGCATTTCATAATTTTTATTTCCCTCTTATGCTTAAATTTAATTCTTTGAATAGTGAGTTCTAAAATGCCTAACCTGCCCAGGCTGGAGTAATTATCCCTATGGTAACTTTTAAAAAATATATATTCTATCTAGGTTTTTTGTTTCTATTGGTGGCACACAGCCGCACGTTACCTCAATATGGTGCACATAACAAAATTCATTCCGCACATATATGGAAAAAATTAGAGAGAACATTGGCAGGAAGCCTGTGTAAGTCTACTGTCTGCCAAACTAGGACGCTAGACTGTGTTGGTGCTCGCCCCTACCTGAGCCCCTAGACTGTTAGGGCGCTCACCCCTGCCAGAACCTAGACTGTGTGTTTGCTGGCTGCCTTAGCCTACAGCTGAGACTAAAGCCTGCTCCCTGCTCTGCCCCGTCCCAAAGGGCCAGAGCCTGAACTCGTAATTGCTTTCTGTCCCAGTCAAGAGGCTGCGCGCTAAATACTGCTCACTGCTTCATCTCACCTGGGGGAGCGAGAGCACCAGACTGTTCCTGCTGGTTTACCTCTGCTAGGTCGCTACAGAACAACAGACTGCGTACGGCTCGGCCACAGTGGCCAGGCCTGAGCCTGAGGATTATTGCCTAATACAGCAAGGCGGAGTGGCCTCCATCCCCACTTGAGAGTGATGGACCACTACACTTCCCTTCCTCATCCAGCCATCTACATAGACAACTTTAACCACCATCACGAAGACTGGGGATACTGCTCAAATGACACAACCGGGGAACAGATCACAGAATAGGTCTCCCTCGAAGACCTCCACGTGCTCTATGGTCCGAAGCAATCCAGATCTTTTCGGTCTGCGAGGCGTACAATGGATCACAGCCCTGACCTGTATTTTGTGACCTGTAACAGCACAGGTATTCCACTGGCCACAACAAGAACCATTTTGAGTCACTTCCTGCATAACCAACATCGCTCAATTATCCTCCAACGTAAGTTGAAGACAGGGATCACCCTTGTTGATCTGTGTTAGAGGGTTTTCCCTTCACCCTCTCCCCTGGTTCTTGTCACGCAGATGGAAAGCAGACCAGAAGTCCGAAGTGCAAGCAATGCAAAGTTTATTGGGGTTAATTTCCAGCAGGCATATGTATACCATAACTCGACGCCGCAGAGCCCTGTTTCCCAGTGTTCCCACTTCCCCCTTCTCAGCAGGCATAATTATACCTGAAATGCATGCCCACAGTCCCACCTGTTACAACTTACGGTCATATTCTGTTTTGGGGGTCATCCGGCTAGGGTCTTCCTTCCCACCCCTTTTGTACCCCATGGGAGGGGTAAGGAGTGAGGTTGTACTTCAGTCAGGGGCAAGCATTTCTCTGGTCTTTTAGTGTTTTACTTCCCCCCCCCCCAACCCCTTTTGCCCCTCCCAACTGGTTGCTTGACCTTGCCTTGAGATAAGGAGTTGAGGCAGTCTTCAAGTGTGCACTCATATATTACATTCCCAGCATGCCCAGTAACACTTTAACTGCTCTTATCTATTTCCATTATACTAACAAACCCATCTGGTTTAGGCAAAAGCAACATTTACAGTATCTCTTTGGTTTTAGTAAAATCCCCTTGTTCACAAATATTAGTAAAAATGTATATATATCCAAACAGGCAAGCAGAACTCAAAATACTATCTCAGGCAAAACTTACAGGCCTAGATCCTACATTGGCACTAATACTCCTAACAATTTGTCCTTGGCATACGACACTGTCTGGAGACAGGGCCTCCTCCTCAAGATCTCCCGCGTCATTCACTGCCGGCGAATGATCTGTCTCTTGGCAGCGATGACCGGGGACCACCGCTTTAAGGTACACTGTAATGGCCAGATCAGTAGACCAAGAACTCTTAACTCGGGCATCCCTCAGGGCTTCATCCTGGCCCTGATACTTTTTAATCTATACACTGTGGATATGCCAGCGATGGAGTTGAGGAAATTCGTGTATGCAGAGACATGCCCTAACTGTTCAGCATACAAGCCTCCATACCAGCAGCTGCACCCTAATCCGAGATCTTAGCATAATGACTGATTATTTCCAATGCTGGAAATTTAGGCCTAACCCAAAAAAACCCATGGTAACCACTTTCCATCTCAACAATAAAATAACTAATACCAAACCCGATGTGCAGTTCAGCGGTGAGAGCATCAGCCAGGAGGCTAACCCGAAGTATCTTGGCGTTACACTGGACTGGAGTTTGACCTTTCAACAACACATTGAGAACACTCACGATAAGGTCAGATCTCATGTTGTGCTTATCAGTAAATGCCTGGAACATCATGGGGCTCCAGTCCAAGGACCTTATGAACTGCAACAATTGCCTTGGTATATTCTGCAGCTGAATACTATGTGCCAATGTGGTCTCACAGCAGTCACACTAAACTCCTTGATACTCAGTTCAGTAACACCATGTGCATAGTGCCAGGGACGCTCAAATTGACTTCGGTTGCCTGGCTCCCGGCCCTATTGCACATCCATCCTCCACAGATTAGAAGAGCTTCCCAGACATCTTGCTTTCTCAAACACGCAAATGCAAACATGAGGATCCCATTCCATGATGGGATTGCACCCAACCCTCTATGGAACCGCATCAAGACCCTTACAGTCAACTTCAACGCTGACACTCAATGGAGAGCCACAGCTGCTCAAAACAAACAGCTCGTCTTTGACCCTGCCGAGGAATCATCGGGTTTTGATTTATATCGGACAGGCTGGTGCAGATCGAATCACATCAGGACATCTCATGGGAGATGTGGATAAACCCTCTTTAAATGGAAAATGAGACAAACACCTGTATGCAACTGTGGTCACCAGACACAAACCAGGCACATCATATCTGACTGTCCTTTGTTCTTTTGCCAGGAGCCTGAGGACATTCACCAGTTCACTGCTGTGGCAATGTGCGGGCTATCAAATCTAGATATAAATTTGTAGCTATTGCTATCTACCCAAGCCATATGAAAGAAGAAAACTATTACTCTTGGCGAGGCAGTGGCAGGAAATAAATCAATGGAGACACGGCCGTCGGAATTTGCATATTAATTCAAGTTCAGCAGTCTCTCTCTGGAGTCTGTTTTTGAAGTTTTTTTGTTGCAAAATTGCAACCTTCAAGTCTGTCACTGAGTGGTTAGAGAGGTTGAAGTGTTCTCCCACTGGTTTTTGAATGTTATGATTCCTGATGTCAGATTTGTGTCCATTTATTCTTTTGCGTAGAGACTGTCTAGTTTGGCCAATGTATATGGCAGAGGGGCATTGCTGGCACATGATGGCATATATCACATTGGTAGATGTGCAGGTGAACGAGATCCTGATGGCGTGGCTGATGTGATTAGGTCCTATGATGGTGTCACTTGAATAGATATGTGGACAGAGTTGGCATCGGGCTTTGTTGCAAGGATAGGTTCCTGGGTTTATGTTGTATGGTGTGCGGTTGCTGGTGAG